TGACTGACTTTAAAAAAGTGTCCAAGTCACTAAAAAGTGACTCGCTACTAGCCCTGATGAGTGAATTTCAATTTAATTACTCAAATAAATCGAAAAATATATTTTTAGTATATCATCAATTACCTTATCATTACTACAAAATCCAGTAACATCTATTTGCTAATTCCCGTAGCTTTTAAGTGATGCCAATTTGAAGATTATCGGAAAGTCGATAAATTTTTCGTGAAAATCAATTGATTTCTATGTGAATCACTCAAATGTAATCCCTCCCCCAACACACGTAATATTCACCTGCAAAGTATGATGGAAAATATGTACGTGCCTATTCAGGTGAATTTTACGTAACTTTTTGTTGCAGTGTAGGCTTCGATAACTTTCAAGATCTCAATATAAAACAGCCAAAATATTTGGTCTAGAGCTTTTTTTAGAAATCTCTGAAAATTTATGGTAGGTCTATGACAATTTCAAGATAAAAATAAATAAAATATTAGATTTCGTGAACAGTAAACGTTTCCCTATGTTCGCAACTTTACTCTGAGTTTTTAAAGTCAAATTATTTACTCTCAACATTGGTAGTAAAAAAGTGACTTTAGTAACTAAATTTTAAAGAATAGTGACTTGAGTGACTTTTTGATGAAAGAAGTGACTTTTTAGTGACTGATTTGAAAATAGTGACCAAGTCACTAAAAAGTGACCTGCTACCAGCCCTGCTTATGTTTCCGCTAAGGCATCTTCTCAACTTGGTTTCATTTTTCGTTTCGCCAAAGACTTTAGGGACATTTTCTGTTTAAAAACACTCTATTGTTCGCTAGTCCGATCCACATTAGGGTACTGTTCCGTAGTATGGGCTCCTTTTTACAGCAACGAGGTGTATTGATGCCATTCAGCGAAGATTTGTACGTTTCGCCCTTCGTTGGCTACCCTGTAGTGATCCTTTCAATCTCCCTAGTTATGAAAGTCGTTTTAATTTGATGTCCCTACAATTACTTAGTGTTCGCCAAGGCGTCTTTAAGGCTACCTTTATCGCTGATCTCCTGCGATCGGACATTAATTGCGGTTCACTTCTGCAGCAGTTGAATGTCAATATCAGACGCGTAAATTTACGTTCTTATTATTTCTTCAACATCTCGCACAAACTACGGCGCTAATGAGCCGTTAACTAGCATGTGCAAGATTATCAACCAATGTTATAATTGCTTTGATTTGAATATCTCCCGTGTTAGGCTTAAGAATCTGTTTTATAATGTACTTTTAACTTCGTGATGGCTTCTGATTTCTGTATTTAAATTAAGTTAATTATGATATCATTAATATCTTTTTATATGTTTAGGGCTTAGTTCAAGCAAATTTATCTATAGGATGTTTATTTTTTTTTATTGGTTATCAAGCTGGAGCTGCGTGACAGCTTAGTTTTCAAGACTTGAGCCATTTGAATAAATTTTGCTTCTATCTTTGACAATACAGCAGAAGGACTAGCCTATGTTGGCCGCTTGAACACTGGATTCCGTATGTATTGTTTCAAGATAGTTATAGAAAAAAATGCTGTGACGTGTGCGCGTAGATACATCCGCGTAGTAAACCGATTGAATAAGTAAATCCGTTTCGAACGAAATATCTAAATTATGTAAGTTACGAAAACCGCGTGAATTCCGAAAGCCGTGCGAGACAACCGAAGCGAGAAAAAAGGCTTATTATCATTTGAAGAGTGCCACCAAAATAAATGTGATAGCCTATGTTGGCAAGTTGATTAATTTTGGTTTCCTCCCTAGATATTCTACTTATTTACTACTGAGCTTTGTATCAAATTAGTTAATTTAAAGAACGTATCAATCATTTCAAGATTTCGCTACCGCACCGAACAAATTCTATACTACATAAGCTCAAAAGCGTTTGACAAGCTCTGCCGAATTGCGTATCACTTCTGCGTAAGCTCCGTAGACGTAGGCGCGTTGAATACGACAGTTGGCAAAGGTTTAACCTGTACCAACACCGCTTAAGGAACGACCTCGAGTCAGTAAAACTGTTTAGAGCTAAACATCTAAATTACGTAAGATACGAAAATCGCGCAAATTGTGAACGCCACTCGAAACAACCGTAGAGAAAAAAAACAGCTTATTATCACTTAAAGAGTGCCACCAAAATAAATGTGATAGCCTATGTTGGCAAGTTGATTAATTTTGGTTTCCTCCCTAAATATTCTACTTATTTTACTGTTGAGCTTTCTTTCAATTTAGTTATTTTACCGCACGTATCAATCATTTCAAGACTTCGCGACCGTACCGAACAAATTCTATACTACAGAAGCTCAAATAGGAATACAATACCTCCAAAAGTTTAAAAGCTATTAATTGTCACATACCTCTACTTTTACTTATTTCCTAAACTATTCCTCTCCTGGTTAATCTGCTTAATGCTATTGGTCTGCCTGCGTTTTCTTTTCAAAGTTCAAGACTAAATAAGAAGATTTATTCTACAACTTTAAAGGTTAGTTGCCTCCCTAAGCGAACCCCCCGCATCCTCATTCTTTTGTTAATCTACTTAATGTCAAGTTTCTTATTTAAGATCATTTGATGATTATGATATCTCATTAGTCTAATTTAATAATTTATTAAAAGCTCTAATTCACCTAATCAATCATAACCCATGCTTTATTAAGTACCAGCAATTGTGCTTGTAATCTTAAATTGAACGTGTTTCAAGTACTTTCGATTTAAGCTTATACCTATTTATTATATCTTAGTTCGACCCAGGTAACACCTTCATGTGACTAAAATGCTTCATTTTGAAGTTAGTTTCTTAGCTGATTTTTAAATTATATAGGGTATACATATGCTCCAACTATGCTCACACGCTTCCACTATGTCACACCACAAAAATACGTATGGGTATGTCACAATAGAAGCACGCCACAGTGGAAATCTCGAGCCATAGTTCAAACACTTATCCCAAAGCAAAATGAAGCACATATAAGATTAGTAACAATACCATGTACAAAAATGATGTTTAACATTGTTTCATGAGTAATACTTCAATGAAAACAACAATGAAAGCTTGTCACGCAATAGAAAGAGCACCGTTGGGCACTTTCTGAAATATTTCAATAGTATAATTCCCTTGCAAACCCAAATAAATCTATCTGCGTAAAAATAAATAAAATAAGAGTGATTTGCGGCAAAACCCACCAGTATCACACCCAACGTCAGTGCCTATACGTAAGCGTACTATGACGCGGCTCACAATCAAAGGAGTAACAAGTGTGATACTATCACTGCTAGACTAGATCTTTGGTTCTCTCATGCAGTGGTTTATCAGAGAGGGGAAGCTTAGTAATCCACATTGCCTTCCCATGACGCCATTCTATCGCGGCATGAGCCAGCAACGCCGACCATAAACCTACCGTCTCCAACACTCCACTATAAAGCATGAAATTAAGCCCGCCCACCAACAGCAAGGTGGAAAAACTAGCCAAGGGGAGAGTAAATGTATCTGTAGGATGTTGGTACTGAAATGATGAGGTTTTGCGACCACTAGTGTCGGCTTTTACCTCCAAATAAATAAATAAATTAGCAAAATGTGAGTCTACAAAACGCGTATGAAATCTTTACAAAACGGCAATATTTAGGCATTGTTCCATTTGGTGAATTTTTACTTAAATTTGACAGATGGAAAACTTTCAAATAAACCTGCTATTCCAGCAGACTTATTTCTATCAGACAAGGAATCAATGTTGACAGACGCTTTCTCGAAAACCGGCCGATCAACAACATGGCTAATTGATATCATTCCGATCAACTATGATGTTGTATAACATTGGTGCAAAATTGTGCTCTCCGTTTTTGTGGGTGCATTTATTTTTAGCGTTTTGAAGTTGAATCGCTGAGGAAACCTTATTTCTGATCAATCTCATTAGGGTTAACTACCCCATTTCCGGCCTATTAATAAAATCCCACACTTACTTTTTCTTTATCTAGCGTAGTTTAGCACCAAACGGAATGTTATTATTACTGATGGTTTCCACAATTATTTACCTTTCCGTACGTACCGTAAGATTTGATAAAGAGCATATTGTTAAAAGCCCAACACTGCTTCTTGACGCCAAACTCGGCCTACGAATTCTAAACTCGGCCTAACGCATTGAAACGCCATTGAAGCGCCAATGAATTCCCTTCGGCCTATCGGATGAGGATAAAAATTAATTCGGTCAGGGCGCTTCATTTGTATTTAAGAATATTGGGTACAAACATTCATATCACGCGTTCTTATTGACTTCGTTCGGTAGCATTTGAACTAAAGTATCGTACCAAACGCATAATCTACCTGTTAACGCCAAAATCATGACTTTATTTGATGTTTTTTGCTTGATAGGCCCAAAATGGGCGCTTAGGCCGAAGTAGTTATCTACCCTACCACATAAAAATTTCAAGAGTACAGATATCAGCTCTCACAAAATTTCTAACAAAGAAACTGGAACTTCACGTTTGTTGCAGTCCAGTACACAAGGAGTTTCAATTTCATGAGTGATGTCACAACCGTCCGAGATTTGTCAGCGAGCTTATAAATATTGAAGTGATAGGGAATATCAGCCATCAAGACAGTCATTGTTGGACGCTTCAATGAATCACCTGAAGAAAGCCTTACTCACATTTGATTGTAATTTAGGAACCAAATGTAATAGCATTTGAATTTTTATGAGGTCCTTAATTTAACCAAGTTTTACTAAGTGGGAAATCCAAAATATGTACATAGGACCGAAATCATAGGTTACTTCTACTGTATTTTAAATCAATATCTAGAAAAATGCAGGATAATTTCACTACACAGCTTAACGTAGTCTACGTCACCCATGCGGTTGTGTCTTGTACACAACCCCACCAATTTTTTGGAAAAAAAGAAAACCGCACCAGAAAAAAAAAATCGATGGCATGCTACTCGGTAGGACTCCAGTCTAGGGATTTTTTTTTTTTCGGATACCTTGTCAAGAAATTTCAGCTTCATTTGATTTTTCTGATTGTTTTATTTATTTCGAATAGATATGTTTCACAGATTAATAAATAATCGAAATGCTATATGTATAAAAATTACAACTGTATAACTGCCCTTCAATAGTACTTCAAAGAATTGATTTATCATGTATCGTATTCCACGTGCTTATACTCTCTTAAAAACTTTGCAGTTTGCTAATATGATGCACTATTGTTTAATTATACTTTTGATCATGTTCAACGGTCGATATTTGTAGCTACTCTGCAAGACATAACAAGCAAAACGAAATTTGATGTTCCCCGCGGGAGGTATTGCATATCTACGTATGTATAAGTAGTCTAAATTGGCCTCAAACGTGATTTATTATCCGAAGTCTAAATAAAGGAATAAAACAAAAACAACATTCAGCATATTATCAAGCGAACGACCACCGAACGATATCAAAGGGAAAATACGTCTAATAATCAACACACCATCTTCCGTTACTATTTTCGTTCAATTAAGCGATCTACTTCCGATTTCCTCTCCTCCATACACCTACACAAACAACAATAGCCATGTGTTTTTTTTTCTCCTACAGTTGTCTTCATTTTCTTTTCTCTTGAACAAAAAAAAAACCATTCAGAATTTCACACTATCAATTGTTTCGATCGGTTATTTCTGCATGATCATCTTCATCATCTGCCAAAGAGATTGACCTCTCCAATGCTCTTCGTTTGCTACACAGGCAATTATCATAGTTTTACTCCGGCCCATGTGCACTACTTGCGTTCGTTGGATTATAATTGATACTCCCGCTATGTTTGGGATTGGTAAACGGCGCCTTTAGTTTTTTTTGTTTTCGATCCGGCAGCGCTAATGATGGTTTCGCAATATGGTTTGCTATAATTGAATTGAATTGAACTTGAAATCGAGCCTTATCTGCATGGCTGGGGGGAATTTGGCTTTATTCTTACGCAAACAGGTGCGAGCAGAATTTTCCCGAATAAGCAGATTTGCAACGGGATGTGTGATGAGGAGATGATCGGTTCCCTACGCGGCTAGGATTGTTCAAATCGCGAACATTCCGCTTTTGGATTGAATTAGATTAGTTCTCTTTTGTAGTATTTTATTTTGTTATAGTTAGGCTTGGTAAAGTAGGTTAAAATTGTACTTTCTTCTCGGTTCTTATGTTTGCTGCATGCTCTATATAATTTAATTTCTACGTTTCTTTTCTTTTTCTTATCTGGAATACAAACATATAAATAGAAACTTCTTGAAAGTGGTTTCCTTTCTCTCTATGTTTTAGAATGTACCTCCCTCTGTAGTTTTGCATCTCTAAAAATACTATACATTACATAAGATCCTCGTTTCTTAAATAGAACCGTTGCTTGTTAATGGTGAAGGTTAGAATGTGGATTTTCTTCTTTGAACAATTGATTTGCGGGTAGTGAGTGATAGCTGAGTATAATGGGTAGTGGGAATTACATAACGTTATTTTTTCTACTCGATGAAATTCAGGTATCTTACGGAGATGGTTGGAGTTGCTGCCAATTGCAGTAGCAGCAGTTTTGGGAACTTTAGGGGAATGGTTGAAAACATATAGAAGAATGTTTTACATGGGCAGAATTTCCTTTGAAAATCAATATTCCACGAACTTCTCCTCAAAGTTATCGAGCACCACTTTTCGATCAGAGTTTTCGATCCATTTATCTAAGAGTTTCAAGCTGACAGAACTCAGAACTGAAACCAATGATCCAACTCCTTTTCAGAGAAGTTAAGTTAAATTTGAAACAGTTGAAAAAACTTGTAAGGTCCAAAAAACCCTGTAGCTAGAGTTCTGTGTGGTAGCTATCAACTGAAATTTTTGAAAGGTTTTAAATGGGTTTTTTAAAGATTTTAAATTTTGAATTAAATTGGGTATAGTCCCGAATGCAATGCGGTCCTACTTGATTTATTGCCTATCTATCAGAGAGACTTTAGCAATCATATTTGATAACGCATATCCTAGTCCCAGAATTTCTTGAAAGCTTCTAATATTTCCCTTAGAATTCTTCTTTATATTCGTTTGAAATTCGTCTCACAATTTCCTCGAAATTCTCCTCGGAATTTCCTTGAAACTCTTTTATGAAATCCTCAGAAACAGAATTTCCATTGAACTATCATTAAAATTTCATTATAACTTTCCTCGCAATTCCCTTGGGATTTTACTTCGAAGGGATGCCAGACAAGGGTTGGGTGTACAGAAATTATACAGACACTGCGAAAAAGTTTCAGATTTATACAGACATTTATAACCACAAACATCGAAACATAAAAATCCTGATGAATGTGGGCGTAATGAATTGACTTCGCTTTAAGCAGCAAATATTTACCAAAATCTAGCATTGTTACAATTACTTGGGTTTTACGTGTGTATTTCGGATTATAATTATTCAACTAAGCTTCAATTTTGATTATTTGAAGACTCCGTTCCAATCATTTCAGGGAAAAATTCTCAAAAAACGTCTTCAATCGTCAATTTCTCATGACTTCTTTCTCGCTCACGCAAAACTAATACCCACTAGGGTTGAAGTTTGAAGAGCATCGTAGAAGTTTAGAAATCTCCAGAGATGTCTGGCAAATTTTAGATAAATTCCCAGAATTTCAAAGTAGATCAGTGGACCAACATCTCAAAAATGATTGGGTGGATTCCAGTTTTGTGAGCTCCATTGAAGTCTGGTTAATTTTAGAGAAATTTCCTGAATTTCTGAATTTAATGTGAAAACAATGGAATTCAATAAAATTCAGCAAAGTTAAGAAAAACTCAAAGAACTTTATTGTAGTAAAGGGAATATCAAATCAAAAATAATCAATTCGGGAAAGCTTCGGAGAACTTTAGGAACATCGGAAAAGCTCTTCAGAGACGTTCAAAGGAACTTCAAGGAAGCTTAGGGGGGGGAAGCTTTTTAAAGAAGTTCAAATCATCCATAGATTAGTTAACAGCTCTTCAATGAAGTTTGGAAATGTTGAAAATGCTTTGGAAATCTTTATCAAAATCTAAGAGACATTTACAGGAAATTTAAAGAACTTCAGTACATTTAAGATCTCTACAGAAACTAAACGAAATTCAAGAAACCTCAACATTGCAATGAACCCATAAAAGAAGTTCCGGAAACTTCATAGAAATTGAGAGAATCTATTGAAAGTATATGATACTTCGTGATAGTTAAGAAAATTTTGGAAAAGTTCAAGAAAGGCACAGGGAGTTTCATAGAATTTCCAAAACCCTTTGAGGTTTTTGATCTAATTTACGTCCTACTTAGCACAACCCGCGCTTTACCTCTCTTTTCTGAACGAGTTTAAACAAAAAAATGAATATTTCTGTCGAAGATGAATTCATTCACCTTTCCATACGTACCGTTGGATTTGATAAAGAGTCACAAATTGTTGAGATATTGTTGAAAATCTAACACTGATTCTTGATTCTAAATTCGTTCAACGAGTTTCAATTCCGTCCTAACGTATAAAAATGGGATTCGCTAGGAGCGCTTCTTTTGTTTTGAGAACAATGAGCGTAAATATTCATACAATGCGCTCTAACTGGATTTATGTTGTAGCTAATGAACTTACGCATCAGAACAAACCTATTATTGATTTGTGCATGGTGAAATTATTGATATTATTGATCTTTTCTGATCGATAGAACGGAAATGGCCGATTACGACGAAGTAGTGCTCTACCCTACATTTCGTTGAAATTCCATGATTAAAAAGGTTTCCTTTAATCTTTAAATCTTGGTTCGTGTGGATTTGGCGGGGATTTTATTTCAAATTTCTGACAACAACTTGTGTTTTTCGTCCATCTTCTCATTGATTGTGAATGTCATGTAATTCATACGAAATTATTTCAGCACCACCTTGGAAGCAATCCATAGATGTCAATTAAAGTTCTCCACAAAATTTCTTTGGAGTCCTCTTGAGAACCACGTTTGCATTATCCGTGGAATTCATTTCAAATTCTGCCCATAATTCATTAGCAATTCTCGTCAAAATTCTCTTGAAAATTCTTATGTCAGAGTTATGATTTTTTCTCTGTTTACGAACCTTGCAAATTTCCGAAGGTTTTAAAGTGTAATATCCCAAACATTTTTAGAATTTGTTACAATTATTTTTAAACTTGTGATCTCTAGAAAATCTTTAAAAATCTTAGAGTCTCAAATTTAAATATGGCTTTTTTAGTTTCAAAATCATGAATATTTTCCTTGTGGGATTTGGAAATTTTTCACTTGAATCTAAATTTTTATCAAGTTTAAAATTTCTCAGTTTCTAAGTCTAATCCCTCCCAGTCCAAAATATGGCCTTATGCCGTATTCATTCGTTTTTATTCACAATATGGATCTCACACTTTGGGAAGCTCTTTTCACGCTTTACGAACTCAGTTCTTCCCAAGCCGCCGTTCTCTTATCAGGGGATATCAAGTAGGAGTCCCAATCCATCTCAAGAATTAAATTATGATTAATGTTCATCGATGTTCCGATTGGACAACCCGAGCTACTTTTTTGTACAGGATTCTACGTTGTTGATCCAGCTGTTTGATCAAACAGCAGTTGTTGATATCATTAATTTTCTGTTCGAAAAGCAAAAAAAGTCTGGTTTTCATATGATGGTTGACAGCGGATCTGACTTTTTTTTGTCTAAAATTTAGTCTTGACCTGTTGACTTTCGCTGGGTAGTTTGAGCTGCCAACAAAATTCCCCAGCGGATCAAATAGCGATAAGCGTTCCGCACTTAGTGTCCAAGACCCTAAGTTCACGTCCAATGATTGCAATTCCTTTCATTAGTCAAATACCGATGGATATTGTGCGGTATTCTACGGTCGTTCCGCATCAATATGTTTCTGGAAAAAATTCCGATCTCCTGTAAGTGATCGTCCCAAAACCTATTGCACTGTTCGTGAAATTTGTTTCGAAGGTCGTCCCGAACCATCTTTTCACAACAAATTTCAGCTAGTCATCCCAATTCACATTCAGGTGCAAACATTGTAAGTGGAGCCGTTTTTTACCCTTAGAAAATTATCTTTTCCTTAGTATCTACCAAAGGCTGTCAATTGGTCGTCCCAATCCATCTCGAGAATTAAATTCTGACTAATGTTACTTCAGCTCCCATGGTCATCCCACGCTACTTTGGCACTGGTTGGTTAATAGTTCTATTATTCAACACGGCATTCCAAGTGGTCGCTCTAGCTCTTGAAATAACATATATTTCGGTACTAAAGAGTATTTGTTGAGAATATATCGGTCTTACTCGATCTCTCCCTAACTCATTTCAAATCCAGACTAAATACGTCAACCACAATTCCCATACAAATTTCCAAAATTGACCTCCGTAGCTCGATATCCTCCCTAACTCAATGGTCCAATATTGAGTTACTAACATTGGACTGTATACAATCTAACAGAAATGCAACATCATTTCCTGTTTCAAATGAATTTAATGTCTGGTTTTAAACATGATTGAAACACTTAAATTTTGTCGAAATCAGCCAGCTGTTTCTGGCACCGATTTAGATGACTTTCCCTAGGCAGCCTAGGCATTTCGCATTTTAGAGAAGGGCACGGGGAGAACGTCTGAACTGAGTCCACCAGCTGAGTGGAGCTAAATGATCACTTAAATTCAATCCAACTGGGGGTCGGGACGTTAACTTGGGGTCTTGTAAACGCTTGCTGGTGTTTGACATACTAAGGGGCCTTTGACGACTAATCACGTTTCTCCCCCTGCCCTTCTCTAAAATGCGAAATGACTTGTTGAGACTATTACCACTGTTCCGTGTTTTGCTTAGATTGTGGGGACGGCCCCGGCGTAGTGGATCACGCCAAAATCACTAGTTAAAATCTCATCCCAGGATAAGTCACGAAGGGCCCAAGAGTGTTAAAGTGACTATAATAATTAAACAAGAGCTCGCTCGGGCCGGTAGAAGGAAACGACCAAATTGTTGCTTCACGATGTAACGCCGAAGATGGGATTAATAGGAATATGTTGTTAAGTCTTTTCTCGATTCCGATCAAGATAGGGGAATTTACGTATTCTCGGCAACCTAAGCAGCCACCTTCTTTCTATAGCCTTTTTCTCCATGGAACGCACACATATGCAGTATTGGTTTGCTTACAATCTTTTGCTGCCAGCTGCTCTAACAATTTCAGTCGAAAGAATTGTCAAAAACTGTTTTGAAACGCTTTTACAAAGCTCCAATCTTCTCTAGTGAGAGCGAGTATTATCGGCAACCAGTTTTTCTTCGGCAACCGTTCCATTTGAACTGCATGTAAATCTGCTGTTCTATTATCGGCAACTCGAAATCAGCTACAATTTGTAGTGCGTGTGTTTCATTTCAAGAAAACCCTGCTAGATTGCTTTTTCTCAGTGGTAAAAATATAGTCAAATTGAAGCTGAAAGCATAAAGAATCGTTTGCATGCATTCAGCGAAGTGTTTTTGTAAGAAAATCCAGTGAAAATAGTGTTTCAATTTGGGTTGCCGAAAATAGTCTGTCATGCCGAAGTCACAACTTCGATCAAGCTATATTACAGAGTGAATTTATCGTGGTAGTAGCAGCAAGCGTTTGATCTTTTTGGTTGCTTTATGTGTTTGGATTCACTGCCCAAGCGTCATCGCGTGATCAAGTGCAGTTTCCGTGCTAATTTTTTTTTTTTATTCCAAAGACGCCACTTTGAAAATTTTACAAGATCCGAATGATTCAAAGAGGGACAAAAGGTCGAATGATGGTACATTTAGTTATGAAGCCCTATTGGCCAGATGGCAAATAGTGAAAAGAATATTTGACGGACTTAAGGCACTGAGACGTTGAATATTAAATGACTAATATTTTTTTATTTTAGTTATCTGAAAGAACGAGCGGTGATGAAAAGAATGAAAAATAGTAATAATCGAATCTTTACAAACATTATTATTCGAAAGAACTGTGAAATTTAATTTTCTTATATTTTCTTATGAAATCTGTGTGCATTATTACATTGTTTCCTCTTTTTGTACCATTCGTCCTTTTGTCCATTCAATCTTTTGATCCTCTTTGGACCATTCAACAGATTGTCCATTTGACCATTTGTCTATTCGACCTTGTCTCCCTTTTAATTATTCAACCTTTTGTCCCTTTTTGAACCATTCGGCCATTTGTTCATTCGACCTATTGTTCTCCTTCGTATTATTCGACCTTTTGACCCCCTTATCATCATCCTACACGCTAAGATTTTGTTTTAGTTTTCGGTAATTTTTTCCCCAAATCAGAACAGCTGAACTTTCGGTAAAGCTTTGACCTTCATATTAAAGTCCATTGAATTAAAAAAATTATTTTCAAAACATATTCAACCTTGTTGTCTTGTCATTTTAGTGGAGATTTAGTTTCAAAGGAACTGAAAAGCAATTAAATTGAACAGTTCAGCTGTTCAGATTTCGGTCAAAACTACCGAATACGGCGATAATTTCTAAGTGTGTACCTTTTGTCGTTTTGTTTTTCGACCATTTGTCCCATAACCCCAAACAATGCCCATAGCAATCAATTATGCAAAGTTTCATGCAAATCGGAGAAGGTTGAGTTTTTCCGATATGTCATTTGGCGTGGAATAGCTCATTTCGAGGATTTGAAATCCAACATTTTAAGGATGAGAGCTTCAGAACCATTTTACCGGATAAGTTGATCGTGGAAGCTGTTTTAATGGTCATCTCCTGTGATTATGCATGGAGAAACACTCTTGGAATGTTTCAAATGTTTCTCTCCATGCTCTTCTTGGACTTTTTCTACTCTGCTCCAGTGGTCGTCGTGCGCCGTCTTCTAAATTCCTCAATTATCGTCAGAAATCCTTCATGATCCAAACAAAAATAATTATCCTGTTCTACCCTTATCGGTATATTCGTCCCGACTCGCTCTCTAACAAAGAATATCAGGCGGTCATCCCGATCCACTTAACTTGCTGAAGCTATAATGCAAGACCCCACTGTCGTTCCAATACACTTCCTAGACCTGCATTCTTAGGTTGATTTGAACCTTTAGTAACGTGAAGTGGATCATCAACGTTGAACATTTCCCGGAATTCCTACTTCTACTTGCCACGAACATGTGATCTATTACGCATTTCACATCCTATTATTACTCACCACCCGCAAGCATAACAGCCCAATCGGTAGCAAACAGTATACAATCAACTTCCCCAACAATCTATTCGAGCTTATCTCTTTCTACTCTTACGTAAGAACTGATGCAATCGACATGAGTTTCAGTTTATAAATTCATATATTCTCGGTCCATAATCCCACTGCGCTAACCCACAATGAATAACAAAAAAAGAACGATTGTTCCGAAATCAATTTGAAGTTTTGATAGCGATTTATGAAAACCGGATCAGTCCATAATACTACATCTTCAGTAACCTTACCACAACTATTGCAAAAAATCTCGACATCTCCGATTGCGACGCAGGTGCTCGAATCTTCCACGGTAACCACGAACAAGACTAGAGTGGAAGAGACCCCGGACGCTCATCGCGATCGGCTGCCGTCCTGCTCCGGTGCAGTCGCCCGTCCCTACGAGACCTTCGCCTTCCGGTGCAGCAGTTCCTGCTTTTTGTGCTCGTGGATGAAATCTTCGACGGTGATGTTCAGTCGGAAAATGTGATGCATCACAAAGTCCGGATCGAGGTACTTTTTCGGCGGTGACCGGAGCACTTCGAGCGTTTCGCACAGACCGTTGGCCTGCTTGCGGACCTTGTGCGAGTTGAGACTGGCCCCAAGGATGACCAGGGCGACCTTGAAGAGGATTTTGATGCCCTCGCACAGGAAGCAGTCCCACACCCGGAGCAGCGTGTCCCAGGGCAGGGTACGGGTCAAGGCACACAGGAACCAATCGGTCATGTAGAGCAGTGGATCCACCTTGTGCTTCTGGAGGTGTCGATACACCGAGGGGGAAGTTTTCTTAAGCAGACCGTTCAGCATACCGGCGTCACGCTGGAGCATTTCCAGACCCGGTGTGAAGTAGTCCTTGAGATACCTGTGGAAGAATGCGTGAGCATGAGTTATTTTTCCGTAAAACGTTTTATTCGGTTACATGACAGCTTGAAGCAGTTATCGGTATGCGTTAAACCAAAATGACAAATAAGTCTCACGACATCATATCTCAGAAAGTTCATAGAAGCTTCCAATGGAGTAATACGAAAACCTTATCTAGTTCTATCATCAATTCATCTTTTACACGCACCGACGGTCGATCGAAAAACCCTTAGACTTAGATATACAGCCACACAACCGTGCAGACCTAGATATGATGCAACGCGGACGGCGGTGATAACATCATCAATCACGAATGAGGTACTTTCTTACACTGTTTACTGCCGTTTATTACGACCCACTCATGGAAGCGTGTATGGATTCGTGTTTAATTCGCATGTAGCCGGTCAGACAGAGACGCTTTTAATTAGCTCTAGTATCATACCCAGTGTATGGCTTGGCTTGGCTCCAGCGTGCTCCAATTTGTTATTTAGTTCGTTGCTTTGGTGCAAAGAAAAAAAATATTGCTGAAACGTCGAGAGTGGTCGTGCCTCAAAGCATAAACACCACCAGCCCAGAGCACCCGTTTTACGCCCAGAAGATATCGTGTTGCTGTTCGGAGATTGCTGTTGTTCACGGTTGTTGGATGGGTTGCATGGTTTCCGATCCAATCTATTGACGATGATTAGCGATTTTACGCGATTCGCTACAAATAGGACACCCTCGATCGGTAGGAATGGGGTGTCTAACAAAAGCAAAAGTGTGTGATTAATGTAACAGCAATGGATTAAATTAGCGTGGCTATTGAACTGAAAATTTCTTCCTGGAATATTTGTACAAAGTTGCAGTTATGTGATTAGTTGGAAAAGTCCCTCAGCACATCAATGAGGGAATGAGAAATCATAGACGTCGTCAACAATGGTACCAAGTTTAAAGAAATTCAGTTGCAACAGGAATGTGCCCAAGCACTTTTGTGTTCATGTGGAAATGCATAAAAATTAATGATTGATATTATTTTCTTAAGAAATCCTTTATTCTGTATTTAAATTGTAATCCTTTTTGCTTTCAATCTAGATGTCAAACGTTAAAGCTTTGAGACCAAGGTATTTGGAATAAGTAGAAAATAAAGGATGATGAAATCGGGACAGTACTAAATCTACTAAAGATGTTCAATAAAATCCTGCTACACCAATTTCAAGAGTAATTCCGCCACTTTGATACCGATTCCGGATGAGCATCTGAACGATGTTTCGTTTAACGACATAATTATAACTTTACCAAACTCCCCAAAAAAGAGATGATCAACCCGATTCGTACCTTCCTCAAAGTTGTCCTTGCTCGCTTTCTACTCTCTATATACAATTTTCACACTCCCGTACTTTAACGGAACTATCAACTCTATACTTTCATCTCCTCATCTATCGTATGAAAAATATTACTTTAGACTGTTATTTGAAATTCGCATCTTCAACTATGTAAATCGTTAACTTCACGCAGAAGTAATACAAGCAAAATAGGTAAAGTAAACTAAAGGTGATCCTGTGGGCAATCCGCTTTCCCCATTTTTTAGTGAATTGTTCATGGCTAACCTACACAGCAAAAAAATCTGAATTATAATTATGATGTGATGTGATTGTGATGTAATTGTTATATTGAACAGAAATTTACACTACTTTTTTGAACCGTGTAGAACATATTCTGGAGGATAGGAATTTGTTGCCCAAGTGTTGGTATAGGTACGTGGGTGACATTTTTAGCATTGTTAAAAGGAAAGATTAATAAAAAAATTTGTAGGCCATAAACAACGTTCATAAGGACATCAAATTTACTCACGAAGAAGAGAAAGCCGGTAAACTCCCCTTCTTAGAACTTCATCTGAAATCATTGTTAGGATCAACAAAAGATTCAATATTTTTTTAGGAAAAGCCGGTATCTACAAAATCTCTTGTTCAGATTGTTATAATATCTACATTGGTCAGACGAAAAGGACTTTGGAAACAAGTTTTAAGGAACACATCGCAGAGGTAAAAAAGGCTAACAAAGAGATGGATAAAGGACTTCATTATGAATTTAAATTCAAGGTTGCAGAACATATCTTTACAAAGGAGCTCAATTTTACTAAGGAAAATATTAATATCCTGCGGAGCGTATCTTCGCCTTGGAAACTAGATGTAGCAGAAAGTTTAGAAATATTTAAACATAATCCATCATTGCTTATTGCATCAATGCGGCGCCGGTGGAATAGTGGTAAGCGTAATTACCTCTCACCCCAGCAGGCCTGGGTTCAATCACAGTCGTCGCTGCCGGGATGTACTGAGGCATAACATCTCTGATCACGCCTTCCTTCGAAAGGGAAGTACAGCCGTTGGTCCTCGGTTCATGAGTTGATGGATCGATAGGTAAGGTCCAGGTGTGGGAGCTGCCTCCCTAACGATGGTAGCATTGGTGCTCAGCACGGAAAACAAGATCGACGGAAAACAAAATCAAGGGAAAAAATAGACATGGCTGTTTGATACCTGCCGATTTATAGTACCTATTGATTAGTATATGAGTCGTAGATAAAATATGAATTCTTCAGTGGTGTTGAGTACTTGCCACTGATGAAGTCTACAAGTAGTAGACGAAATACGCGTATTTTTCAAAAGATAAGCAATTATAACAGAGTTAAAATCAAATAAATCAACACACTCAAAAAAGCGTTTCATAAAGCGATTTCGTTAAGAGGTTCTGAAACTTGTATTGTCTTTTTAGTGTTCTGAATCATGAATAATTTCTAGAGATTAAGCTTAGAAACTTTTTTGAAGCCCTAGACCCAATAAAATCAGACTTAGTAGAAATTTTCAAGAATAATCTGGAACGAGCATAAATAATAAAGACGTCGGATATTGAATGTTTTCCAAGAACCCAGATTTATATAAAAAAAAAAAGACAGGGTCTTCTAGAAGTTTCTCACCGTATAGACTTTATAGAATGCATTTGATGAAATTTTCCAAGAAACTATAGGGATAATTTAAAGGAAATTCAGAGGAGAATTCCAATGGAAAAATTGTTAGGAACAAGGATTGAGCATTCCTTTCAAGTTAGTTTTGTTGAACTCCCGATGAAACGTAAGGATAAGGTAGTTCTGAATAAAATGGCAAGGGAATCATGAGTAGGATTTAAAGGAAAACTCCAACAGAATTCTGAGGAAGATTCCAAGATAATTCCAAAGAGAATTTCGTCTACGGGATTTGTAAGGAGAACTCTAAGTTACTTGTGAGTATAATTCCAAGAGAAGAAGGTAAAACCAAATAAATGAATTCAATGAACATTTTAAGGGTTATTCCAATGGAATTCTATGAATTATGCTAAAAGAATTTTAAGGAAAGTTTCAAGGAAATTTCCAATAAAGTTTTGAAGTAAATTTCAAAGCAAAGAAAAGAAGAAAAAAATCTGAGGAGTATTTCAATGAATTTACGGGACTGCTCTTAGAGATTCCTGAGTTGAATTTCAGGAGATACTCAGTGAATACTGAGGAGATTTTATGTCAGGACAAATCTTTGGGAATTCATAGGGGATAGACAAAATGATGGGGACAGGAGGCCAGTTGGCCAACGGAGAAGTTCCGACTTTTTTAAGGGTATATTAAAAACTGATGTTTTTTAAATCTTTTCATTGTGTCGAACCTCTTAACGGAATCCCTTTATGAAGAGCTTTTTGAGTGTGTTGATCTATTTACTTTTATTTCCGTTATAATTGATTATCTTTTGAAAGATACGCGAATTTCGTCTACTACTTGCAGACTTCATCAGTGCCAAGTAGTCAACACCACTGATTTTTTCATCGCTTGTATTTTTGTCTAGTATGAAATTTTATGGAATTCATGTTTTTTCCTGATACAAGAGTGAATTATGAATTCAATGCTGGCCACAGATTCAAGATCAGTTGAAAAACGCTTACCACACCACTAATATGTTAAGGTAGGGCAATCAATTCAAAATCAATAGTACACGAGCGCCACCTGGTGAGTGAATTCTGTGCTGGCTTTTTTTTTTACAAAAAAATAGGTCTTGTCCATTTGAGCAACTTTGCCAAAGACGGAAACCTTCTATCTAGCCAAGATGTTAAGTTAGGGCAAACAATTCGAATTGAGCCAAACTCTTTATCTTATGATAGGTCTTGTTCATCTGAACATTTTACTGAAGACGGAACCCATCTATCTGGATGTTAAGTTAGAACAAACAATGAAAAATTATTGTCGCATCAGCGCCGCCTGGTGAGTGATTTCTGAACTAAAGTCTATTCTTTAAGATAGGTCTTGTCCATCTGAATAACATTGCTGACCGCCGTACGTCTAAAAATCTCTATAATAAAGAATTGAAAAAAAAAACTTTGCTCAAGACGAGAACCATTCATATGAGCAGGATCTGTAGATAGCGTTATATAATGTGTATTTAAGATGACGCATTTTGATTATTATCGTTTTAGCGCCTTCTTGTGAGTTAAATCTATCATACACTATATACATAGCTTTGAAGACCTTATATTTTGAAAATCTTCTACATCTCTAACATAAAAATATGCCATGGGTATATTTTTAAAATGACCCCTCCCTCGGAAAGCTCCGCTTTAAAAAAAGGCTGATTAAACAGAAAGTCTACTAAATTTACTTTGCAAATCATTTTAAAAATTTCAGAAAATCATTGAAATTTCGTTAAGAAACGGCGATTACACACAACGGCAGGGTACAGGCAACGTAAGTATTTCAACAAACATTTTCCAATAAATAAATTGAAGTTTTTTGGAGTATATTTCATCTAATATTACAGAGCTTCGGTGAACGCACTTTATCATGAAAGAATTGATAAAATCCATCGACAAATAAAAAAGTTACAGCTTTTTAAAGTGGCCTGGGGTCAAATTAACGGGTGTTCAATAAAAAATGAAAATGATTTCAGTACCACCGTCCAGCGCTCTTGTGAGAGCATCGCGACTAAGTTGCGTCGTACGGCTGACCAGGCCCCC